GCCCTGTACAACGGCGGCTTTGCTGCCGGCACGGAGCTTGGCGAAGGAAGCCCCGGAGCTGGGGAAGGTCAGGACGGCTCCGGCTCGAGCGGTGCCACCAGCTCCGGGAGCATCTACTCACCCTGAGCCCGCGCGGGTTCAGCACCTTGGGGTTGCGGGAGAAATGCAGGTGGAGGCTCCCGTCGTCGCTCACGCTCACCGCAACCTTCTTCAGAGTCTTGTTACCGCAGTGAGGACAGAACACCTTGCTCATGTCGGAAGTTGTCCTGCAGGACAGTGACAGAGGGACTCGGTGCTCCTGGGCCCACGTGAGCTAAGGCTCCTCTGGCCACACGAGCCAGGAAAAGCACCAGCCCAGGTTGAAGGGGCGGGAGGAGCGGCGCTCCTGGGCACTCACTTGAAGCAGCCGTGGCAGCGGAGGATGTGGCTCCTGGCCTGGCGGATCAGCCTGCCGTTCACGGCCAGCACGTGCAGCCCCATCTGCAGCAGCACGTTCTGCAACGAGCAGGGAGAAACGGGGCCCCAGGAGGTGGGACGGCCAAGCTCTGCTCAACCTCGGCAGCGAGAGCAGCCCTCGGCAGCAAAGCAGCAGAGGCCTCGGAGCAGCCGCCGGCACCCACCTGCATGGCGAAGTCGGTGGTGACGCAGCCGACCTGCACGCCAGCGGGAGCGGTGTCAAAGTGCCCCATGTCCTGCTGCACCTCCTTGATGTTGCTGGGTGTGATCCAGCCTTCATCGTCACTCTCCTCTTCGCTTTCCTCTTCTGCAGCACTGTCCCCGTTCTCTGGTCTCTGCTGCTTCTCATCCCCCTCTGGACGGATGGTGACGGCGTGAGCGTTCTGGGGTGGGAGCGACCATGAGCCAAGGCCCCCGCAGCGCCCTCAGCGCCGGCAGCCTGGCGAGAGGCGCCCAAGAGAGCCGAAGCCGGACAAAAACGGGGCAGGAAGCACCGGGGAGGCCCTGGGTCTCACCAGCAGCTCCTGCAGGTCCTCCTCGATGCTGGGCAGGGGCGCTCGCCAGTAGAGGAAGGAGCTGAACTCGGGGCTCTCGGCTGTGACCGGGCTCCTCTCAGGGCTGGGCAGGCGCTGCCCTTTTCCCAGGCGCTTGTGCTGGACACAGGACAGGGGCCCTTTGCCTGCTGCCCGCCCGAGGGCTCTGCGGGGCCGTGTCCTTGGGCCCTGCAGGGCTCCATCTCCATCCCTAATTCCCCTCCCCATCCCCATCGCTTTTCCTGGAGCTCTGTGTTCCTGTCTCCCTCCCTCTCCCTAGAGCACAGTGTCCCTGTCCCTACCCCTTTCCCTGGAGCATGGTGTCCCCTACCTTGGAGGGCAGGTGGAAGCCAGCGAGGTGCAGGGGGGCCTCGGGGTGCTGCAGGGAGGAGCTGAGCTGCACCTGAGGAGGGAGCACGGCGGGTCGGCGGGGCCGGGGCTGCCTCGTGCTGGGCATGGGGCTGCCCCGGCCCGGCCCTACCTTGTCCTCCGGCTCCCGCCGAAGCCGCCCGGGCCCCCCGCCCCCTCCGGAAGCCGCTCGGGCCCCACGACCTCGGCCTCGAGCTGGCAGGTGAGGGCCAGAACCTGCAGGTCGGTGGCCGAGAGGCTGGGGTAGTCGCCCGTCTTCTTGGCGAAGTCGGTCACTGCGGGACAGGGAGCAGGACGGGGGCAGGTCGGAGCGGGCTGGGGCAGCAGCGGGGGGAGAGGGGCAGAACAGGGACAGGAGC